AGTTGTCATCAAAGGTATTTCTCTCTTGCTCTCTTTGTGAGAGCTTTATTCATGTGTCAATTTTTATCTTTTTTCCTCTTTATGTTTTGTTATCTTTTATTTTTTTAATGTCTAGTGAAACCTCTCTCTCTCTCTTTTTGTTATTATTGAGGACAGGTAGATTTCTAACTTATATGTGACTCTATTTTTTTAGAGAGTATTTCTTGTGACTTAATCACCTTTATAAAGATTATTTTTAATTATCTATTTACTACATGAGAAATTGATCTATAAATGTGCTATGGGATACAAATCTATTAATCATTTAGGTTAAGGATATAATAATACATTGGATGCTCGCTAGGATTTCTGATTTATTGTTATTTAATTTCACCTAAGAAATTATTATTGTTAATATGAGGTAAAGGTTTAATTAATTGTCTAAGAAATTATATTTAAATAAATTAGAAAATCCACTAAACAATGGGGGAAACCAAAATGAATTAAAACCCCAAATTGAAAATTTCAAGTGAAAATAGAATGAACTTCAATCCCCCAAGGTTTATCCCCCATTTGAATTAAAACAACTTTCTTATGTTCTTGCATATTTAATTAAAGAACACGTAAAAACCAAATATTTATTGCTTTATTTTAATTCTATTTTTTTTTTCATAAATCAATTATAATTTATAAATAATCATTTTTTTTGGCTTCTAATAAACTACATTTGTTTTGTGATGAGCCTTGAATTCATGAAAATATGTTACCTGGTCTCTTACTATTTTAATAATTACTTGCAACAACTTAATCGTAATCTCATCATTTCTCTTGAAGATCTTGGTGTGAAAAATCTAAAAAGTTGATGAGAATTGACCTCCATGTGAGGGGTATCCAATTTCAAAGATTTTCATGAGGAGGAAGCGCGAAAAAGGGGTCAGCATAAGGAAGATGGAGAACGGGAAGACAGCCAAGAAGACAAAGGAAGAAGATGATGATGATGCACAAGCACCAACTTTCAAAGTTGTTGAAAGAGGAAAATGAATAAGACATAACAAATTCCAAGACTTAAGGTATTGGAGTTATGCCTTTCTTGCTTTGTCTTCTCCATAGATTTATAACACTTTTGTTGTTAATGAATCATCAATATATAAAAAATGAACTTACTTATCTGCCCTCGCCCAATTTAAATGACACTTTTATAGTTGCAAATGTAGACTCTAGATATATATAGTCCTTTCAGTTCACCTTTTCTAGTTAGGTTTCAATCAAATCAATGCCTTTTAAGGTGTAATTTATTCATTGAATTTTATTGGGGACTAATGTCAAATATATAATTATTATAAGATAAAAACTATAATTATGGACGGTTATTTTTTTTAACAGTCTCCATAAACTGTCAAAAAAATGTTATATTTGTGACGATGATACTAATCACTATAAGTGTTGCCATTTTTTTTTGGATAGTTTAAGTTAAATAACTTTTATTAATTACTTTCCTTTTGTTGATTATATGTGTCTTTCACGTGATCCATGTAGTTTTTATATATTAAATTTTAAAAATAAAATAAAATAAACTAATAAAATCAATTTAAAAGAAAATAGAAAATAATTTATTTTGTTAAGAAATTATGAACCCTAGTATCAAATATTGAGACTCATTTTTCCCATATTCACACATGAAACTCATTTTTCACGAAATCTTCACGTATTAAAATTCATTTTTCAGACCCGCATGCGAGAAAGACAATGACAATCGATTTGAAATTTGAAGAGTCATGATAAAAAAAAAAATTTGTTTCAGTCACAAAATCTGCTAACAAAACCTACATGCACGCCAAGGTTAGTGCACTTGGGCATGTGTGCCTATACTGATATGAATTTTGTTGATGATTCATTTTATTTGAGAAAGTGAAGCATCTGTCTTATGCTTGTTTTCTTGCTTATTGTTAGACAAAAATGAATAGTACTTGTTTGCTTGTTTCTCAATGATATAGAATCACATTGTTGAATATTTTGGGTTTAGGAAATCTCTATGGAGTTTGCTTTTCAGTTTGAGTGTGGAAACATAGATTGAGTTTTTGCATTTTCAACATTAAAATAGTGTGTGACTGATTGTCAAAAGAGTAATTTGGTCATGGTACATCAGCCAGTTCAATTTCATAATATATTAATAACCTGTGTTTTGGTTTTCTATTCATGTACTTGCTAAAACTAAATACTTTGTTTCTACTCTAGTGGACATCTTTAAACTAAAATTTTGTAAAGAACTTTGTTGTCTGTTGGAGCCTCTCTTTTTTCTACTAGTTTTTTCTGTTTTAGGTTTGTTTGAATGCTGTGTTGGACTATATCTGTTAGAGGAAGGTTATGAGCTTGACTAATAACATTGCAGTGGTAAGATTTAGCAAAAGCCACATTCTTGTTATATGTAATTTAAATATGCTTTTAATTAGGAGTGTTGTAGTCTGATTTTGTGTTCTACAAATGACCTGTAATGTGAAATACAATTAAGTAAGATGTAGTTTGAGTCTGCATAATTGCTTCGGTGAGATTGTAGCCTTATGTGTCTATTTTCTGAATTGTTTTGGTGGTTTTATACTGTAGTAGGTTTTGTTTGATTTTTTTGAATGTCTTATTACTTTGAATTGAGTAAATTTCCCCTGTTCTTGCTATTATGATTTTTGAATGGTTTTTTAGTCAAAAATAGATATTTCAAGGAAATTGTGGGAACAACTCAATTGCATGGAAATATAATTCGTATTGAATTAATTGAGTTGAGGATGGAGAACAGTTCATGTGACAGAGAGTTGCCTTCAACAATGAGAAGTATGATAAAGTTTGGGGCACTTGTAGTTGTTGTAAAAATCTGAAAAAAATCACAGGCATATCTTGGTTTAATAAGAAAATATCTTTGAAGTTACAACCCCAAATTCATAGTTTCTAGTTTTCAAGATATTCCTCTCCCAAACTGCCAAAAGTACATTTATGAAGCTTGTGACTTGGAAAATGTGACTTAATAGTATTTTAATGTTTCTAAACTTAGTAACTAAAGTTTATGTATTATGGTTTTATGTCTTATTATTTTCTCTTTAGAAACATACTTTTAAAAAGATTAAAGTTATGGATTTCCACATAGTTCTTTGGTAAACCACGATTAATCATTAATGTTTTGCTCTCAAGTCAAGTTGAAATCATATACACTAGCTTTATTATGTAATTCTTAACTTATATATTACCATTCCATTTTTAGATAAGTTTAAAAATGTATTTCTTCTATATTATAATACTTATTTGTTTTCATACATACATATAGTTTTCTAGAAGGATTGAAAGAAGCTTTTGGGTGAGCGAAGGAAAATGGGAGTTTTCCCCCATTTGGGAAGATGAGAATGAACTGTCACAAATGAATCCATCTCATTTGTACATAACTAAGTGGAAGATAATATATAACTACTCATGCATCATGACATAATGGAGTCATTAGTTTTCAAATTTCCTTTAATGCATTATTTCATGTCTTTCATAGTTTTCCATTTGAAGAATAGAGGCATGGTGTTTTTTTTTTTTCAATTATATTTGTTGATATCATACAAATATGTTATATTATGTTGAAGAGACTAAAAGATTTGTGAGAAATTCATTTCTAACCTGTCTTTAACCTCACAAAAGGAACAATCCTTTCTTGGATAGTAATACAAAATGTATCAATTATGCATTTAACTTTCTTTGTCACGACTCTTATACAAATAGTTATAATAATATTCCTTAGTCAAACTTGTTTAATGAAAATTTTACGAATAAGCATTGCTGAATGTAGGATGTTAAATTCAAGAAGAACAACTTTTGCTATTAACTTTTTTTTTTTAATTCTTTCAAAATAGTCCGATTTCTAAATTTTTTATCATTTGTTGCAAGATGTTAAGTGCCAGGGTTGCTTTAACATGAAAGTAGGATCTTTCTTTTATTCTTCTTAATTTGATTGTGATATATTTAACTAAGTGATGTGAATTTATTTATGTGCTGCCTTTAATTTGGATACAAAACCACTGTGTTCTAGCCACTCCTAGCCAGTTGTGGTAGCTACTAAACTATGATGAGGCAACCAACATGTAACATGCCACTCCTTTATCTAGGTTTTCTAGGTTGATATTGGGATGAACCCACGTTGTCTTAATTTCCTGCATCAAGGAAAAATTAGGCTTAGAAATATCTAGTTATGAAGCTTTAGCTAATTTAAAAATATACTTTTGGTCATATCCATGCCCAAACCGGAATGAAACCCAAATCTTGAATTAAAATAAAGAGTTTACTCTTAATTGTTTTGTCTATGGTTTTGGGGCTCAATATTTTCTTTGTCTATTGAATCCAAACACCTAATTATGTGTATAAGACCCTCTTTCGAGGGAGAACCCACTTGGTGTTTGATAGGTTTCAAATTACTGAGAGCTAGGGTTACACTAGTATTACTAAAATAAAGAAAAGCTAATTCAGGAAAATGATATTCTCTCCCATTCAATTAACCTTAACGTGCATATATATGTCCCTAGAAAATATCTAATTGACGCTGGGCTTGTAAAAACAAGGGCTGGAAATTATTAAAAAAAACAACTAAAACACAAAAGGAACAATTGGGCCTATCATTAGATATAGTCTCTCATCCAAGCTGGTGATTGCTTGTATCTTTTGGGCCTATCATTACCGCTCGGTCCGAAACGGACCTTGTCCTCAAGGGCCACAATGGCTATATCATGAGGTGGCAACAGCTGGTTGGTGGGAGTGTGGGAGTCACGGATCACAGGTGCAGTATGTGGTGAGGATGAATTTGTGTTTGTGAGTAATGGCCTAGATGAAACCGTAGCACTCGTGGGGTCAAATGCGGACACGTGCGTGCTTGCGGAAGTCGAAGTGACTTTAGTGGGGTTAGGTGGGAGGGGGAAAGTTAGGCCCGTTGGATTCAAAGTGGGCGGCTCAGATGAAGAGAGAGGTTAATGGGGTGATGGGCCAACATTTGAAAACGCAATATTGGGAAGTAAAGTGGCATTTGGATCGGTATGTGGGTTATGCGGAGGGAAAAGGTCACGAGGAAGGTTGAGGGGCGACAATGGAGGGGAAGGTCCCCGAAAGGGCCTAAGCTTGGAAATATGAACCATAGGGTGGATTTTGGCTGTCTCTGGAAGGGCCAAATCATAGGCCACCGGACCAATGCGACGACGGACCTGGAAGGGGCCAAAATAACGACGGCCGAGTTTGTTTGACGATCGACGAGACACTGTGGTTTGCCAGTACGGTTGGAGCCGGAGAAGGACCCAGTCACCAACTTCAAAGGTAAGGTCTTTGCGACTGAGGTTAGCGAGAGCCTTCATTCGTTGTTGACTGCGAAATAAGTTGGCTTTAACTATCTTGATAATATGCTTGTGTTCTTTGATAATCGCAGCCACGGTGGTAAGTGAAGAGGAGCCCGGAAGGAGATCAATGGTAGCCGGAGGGGGTCGACCATACAGGACATGGAATGGAGACGTACCCAGACTAGAGTGGCGTGAAGTGTTGTACCAATATTCGGCGAGATGCAAGAACCGATACCAGGTATACGAGGTAGGTCACCAGCAAAACAGCGGAGGTAGGTTTCCAACGACCGGTTCAAGACCTCGGTTTGACCATCAGTTTGAGGATGGTAAGCGGAGCTGAAACATAGGGTTGTGCCTTGCATGCGAAAAAGCTCCTTCCAAAAAGCACTAATGAAGACTGGGTCACGATCAGAAACGATGGACTTTGGTACACCATGCAAACGACAAATGTCCACCATGAAACGTTGGGCCAGTTGTGGAGCAGAAAATTTGGCAGGTAAGGCGATGAAGTGGGCGAACTTGCTGAGCCTATCACACAAAACCCAAATAGTGGTGTGGCCAAAAGATCCAGGTAAATGGGTGATAAAGTCCATTGTAATTTCTTCCCAAACTCGTTTTGGTGTGAGTAAAGGTTGTAATAAGCCAAGTGGTTTCTGTGGGTTGTATTTGTTGCATTGGCAGGTGGAACACTGGCGGATGAAGGTTCGAGTGTCATTGGCAGCCATTTTTGGCCAATAGAAGGAAGCAGAGAGACGACAAATAGTCGGTTTCAAACCAGAGTGGCCAGCCAGAGGTGTGCAATGAAACTCACGAATAAGCTTGTGACGGAGGTCTGGAAGGTCAGGGACGAATATGCGTTCCTTAAAAAATATCAACCCATTGCGACAGGTGAAGTTGTTGTTATGCGTAGTGTCCTGTAACAATTGGTGTTTGATTGTTTGGCCCTCGATGGTGTGAGTATAATAGTGTTGCCATTCGTGGATGAAGGATGCAACTGGAGATGATACAGAAAAAACCAGCATGGTGGGTGGTTTCGGTCGAGACAGAGCATCAGCAACCAAATTCTGCTTACCAGGCCTGTATAAAATGTCAAAGTGAAACCCCAAAAATTTAGTGGCCCATTTCTGTTGTGTTGGGGGTGTGAATAGATTGCGAGAGTAAGTTTTTTAAACTCTGTTGATCAGTAATAATCTGAAAATGTTGCCCAATGAGATATTGTTGCCATTTTTTTAGGGCCTCTGTGATGGCATACATTTCTCTTATATAAACTGATTCGCTCTGCATTTTTGGACAGAGTTTCTTGCTGAAAAAGGCTAACGGATGGCCCTGTTGAGAAAGAAAAGCACCAACGGCAATGGCGGAAGCATCAGTTTCAAGCACGAACGAGGAATTGAAATCAGGAAGGCCTAACACCGGAGTCGATGTCATATGCTGCTTTAAGGATGTAAAGGCCATTTGGGCGTCTTCCGTCCATGTAAAATTCTGAGATTTAAGTAAATTGGTGAGAGGAGCGGCGATAGTAGCGTAGTTCTTCACGAAACGTCGATGATAGGCCTAAGAATCCACATAAAGTCGAGAGAGAACGTGGTGCAGGCCACTCCACAATGGCTTGTATCTTGGTTGCGTCTGGGGAAACACCCTGATCATTGATAATATGGCCTAGATACTCAACAGAAGTCACACCAAACTCACACTTAGATAATTTGGCATAAAATTGATTAGAAGGCAACAAATTGAGGATAATGCGCAAATGACTAAGGTGGCTATCAAATGATTCACTATAGACCAAAATATCATTAAAAAAAAACTAGAACAAATTTTCGTAAATATGGTCTGAGTAAATCATTCATAGCTGCCTGAAAAGTGGAAGGAGCATTTGACAACCCAAAAGGCATCACCAAAAATTCATAGTGGCCATCAAATGTCCTAAAAGCTGTTTTGTAAGTATCTGAGGGAGCAACTCGTATTTGGTGATAACATGAACGCAAATCAATTTTAGAAAATACTCGAGCAGCCCCAAGCTCATCAAGCAACTCGTCTATCGTAGGAATAGGGAAACGATCACGAATAGTAATCGCATTAAGAGCTCGATAATCAACACAAAAACGCCACGTGCCATCCTTCTTTTTAACGAGCAACACTGGGGAGGAAAAAGGACTAGTGCTAGGTTTGATAATACCGTCATGAAGCATAGAGGAAATAATGGAGGTCATGGTGTCTTTTTGGGAGTGTGGGTAACAATATGGTTTAATATTGACGGGATTGGAGGAGGGGATTAAAGGGATGTGATGGTCGTGGGGTCGGGATGGGGGAAGGCTGTGAGGTTGTTGGAATATTTGAGAAAATTTTTGGAGGAGGGTGGATAGTGCCTGTTGAAAAATTGGAGGAGGGTCGGTAGTGGAAGGGTGAATGTTGGTGGAAATAGTTGGTGGGGTAGTAACTGAGCATATGGTTAAAAGGTGAAAAGAGGCAATGGAATCTTGGTGAAGTAATTAATTGGCAAACTTGATGGAAAGAAGCTTGGGTGGGGTTATGAAGGGTCTCGCCAGTAATGGTAATAGGCATGAAATGGTGATTAAAGGTGAATGAAGGGATCGAAAAATCTGCCTGAACAGGGCCTAAGGTGCGTAACCAAGCTAGGCCTAAAACAACATCAGCCCCCTCAATGGGAAGAAGGTATAAGGGTACCTGAAAGGTGTGTTGTTGAAAGGATATGGCAACTTGGGGGCAGTAGTCTTGGCATAGAATGTGGGCGCCATTGCCTACCATGACCTTAAAAAGGGAAGTGGGTTGAGTGGATAAATGTAAGTGTTTGGCTAGGCGAGGTTGGATTATATTGTGGGAACTCTCGGTATCGATTAACACCATGACTGACTGTCCATTTATGGTACCATGGAATTTGAGGGTAAAAGTCGGCCCAAAAGGTTGGAGAACCTCCCGCCTTATAAGGCCTCCTTGGTAAGGAGACCTCCCCGATGTGGGACTTGTTACATTACCACCCCCTTCGAAAGCCAGTGTCCTCGATGGCTGCACTCCATGGTACTTCACTCACCGGCACTTCACTCGGCCTTTTGCTGGTCAGAACCCTCCGATGGTCAGAACCCTCCGTGGGTAGCCCTTTTCGATTTGGCTGGCTCTCAATGAAAGCACTAATGATAGGTTTCAAATTACTGAGAGCTAGGGCTACACTAGTATTACTAAAATAAAGAAAAGCTAATTCAGGAAAATGATATTCTCTCCCATTCAATTAACCTGAACATACATATATAGGTCCCTAGAAAATATCTAATGGACGCTGGGCTTGTAAAAACAAGGGCTGGAAATTATTAAAAAAAACAACTGAAACATAAAAGGAACAATTGGGCCTATCATTAGATATAGTCTTTCATCCAAGCTGGTGATTGCTTGTATCTTTTGGGCCTATCAGTGTTGCTACATTTCCTATGGCAACAAAGATTAAACTGAGGTTAGGTAATGTTGTATTATGTGCCATGTATCTTTGAATTTCGGCATTGTAGTAAGGAATTGCATGTTCTGACATTTTCTTTTGACAAGTCAATAGTTTGAAAAATTAGAAGATTTTGTGTTGTACTCAGGCTTCAACTCTTAACATCTGTGTAATGATTTTGAAGCTAGGTTTAAACTTGTATTTTATACTTGTTCAATCCATAGCCTTCGATTTTATGCCTAAGGCATTTAGAATTTTGTTGACTTATATTACTAACTTCTATTTCTGTGTGATTGTAAACCTATAGGAAAAAGTGTCAAGTAGAAAGTTGGAAATAACTAAACTACTCCATCCCATCCCATGGTTTTCAAGATGTTAGAACTTGGATTAAATAATCAATTTTTGTGTTATCTCATCTAACACTTTATTAGTTGATATATTATAAGTTAATTTTAATTTATAAGGTAGATAATAGGATCATTTCACTTTATTTACTCTATTTACTAAACAAAATCGACGAGCTCTATTCTTATCTATTGTTCATTGTCATTAACATTTTTTTAATTAATTAATTTGTTTTATAAACTTAGACTAAAGCAAGTTCTTTGTCTCTTGCATTGATTGAAGTCTTCCTCCCCATTTAGTTCTCTTACATTAACTGAAGTGCTCCTCCCAAGGTAAGGTAACCTTGAATTTTGCATTTAGATTTTTTTTTAAAAAAAAATTACTTATCTAAATCCATTTTATTATATTTTAAAATTACTTATCTAATTTTATTTTTTAAGTATGTTAATTTTTTAATTAATCTATTTTTTTCTTACAAATTTAAACCAAAGCAGGCTCATTCTCTTGTATTAACTAAAGGGCTCCTCCATATTTTTTTTCTTTTGAACTTAGTTAGATGGATGTAATAATGAATAAATCATGGATTGATATACCATGGAATATAGTGAAATACCAAGATAAGTTAAATAAATTGTTAGATTTTGCAATTGAAAATCGATCTGTCAATGGTGCAATAAGGTGTTTATTATGTCCTAAATGTCATTTTAGTAAATGAAAAATTAGAGATGTTGTGTTTGACCACTTGATTTGTACGCAATTTTTGAAAAATTATAAAGTTTGGATACGACATGGTGAAGAATATGAAACAATGGCATCAAGGAACACTAAAGTAATAGACGAGCCGTTGGATTTTGAAAATCCAATGCTAAATATGAAAAATGATGCATTTGAGTTCAATAGACATGTTGATGTGGAACATGATATGTATGAAGAACCATATGAGTTTGTAAATAAACACCACACCCAATAAAGGAAATAAGGTAGTTGATGATTTGTTTAGAGATTATAACCAACAATTGTATGAAGGGTGTCAAAAGTACTCAAAGTCGTCTTTTCTATTAAGGTTGTATCATATAGTATATGGTCGATGAATCTAATTTCATACATGGGCATTGATCATGAATTTGGTTTTCTGAGTTGCTTAATAGGTTTGATATGTTTTAAAGTTGATGGATGTTAATGTCTTAATAATGAGAAATATGTGTCATGCTAGACCTATGGCTAGATATTGTCTTGATTTTTTTATAATGTTGAAAGTTGTTAATTCGATTTATCTTTATGTAATTATATTTGAACAAGAAGCTAAGAAAACACATAAAATTATCAAAATTATGGGTAGAATTTACTAAAATAAGTGATCTTGGAATTAGATAAGTAAAATTGTTACTTAAGATTTACTTGGATTAAATAATAATATAATATGATCACTATTAATTTCAAATGGTTAATATAATTAGTGGTAATTTTAAATAAATTGATAAATATATAAAATATATGGACTATTATTTGTCAATTTATAATAAGAATCTGCTTTTAAAAATAACTGCAAGTATATCTTTAAAATAATAAAAATATGATAGTTTTAAACTATAATTAATGTATAATGAAGTGCATTTTTTTTACGCTTTTAAACCGGTCACAAAATGTGAGACAAGTCAAACAAAAATGTATTTTTTAGTGGTTTTAAACCACCAAAAAATGTGAAGCAAGTCAAGAAAATGTGAAGCAAGTCAAATGAAGATGCATTTTGTGATGGTTTAAAATCCCAGAAAAATTAAAATGCATTTTGTGACGATTTTAAATCGTCAAAAAGTGACTAAATTTTCTAACTTCCAAAACTACAAACCGGTTTTAGTGATTGTGAATCTGATGATTATTAATGACATATGAAATGAAATTTGTGACAATTTTTAATTGCCAGAAATTGCAAAAATAATCGTTACAAATCACACATTTTTTTTGTAGTGATAATATTTATAGAATTTTAAGCTTGAATTTTAGTGCAACTATTATAATTCTGAAGGATAAAAAAATATCTTATCTATATTATAAGAAGTGTCATTGTAAATTATTTTTAACTAATAAAAAACTATTAAATATATATAAAAAACAATAATTTTATAAAATTAATCTTCTTTGCTTAAAATGATGCAACACATTGATTGTCAGAAATGATAGTAATTTGTGTTCCTTAATTAAATTGTTCAACGCTCAAATCTTGACTTTCAATATAGAATTAGTGAATTATGTTAGGAGAATAATACGAACTTTGTATGTACTCATGGTTTTCAATAGAGATTAGTTATCATTTTTAACAGTAAATATTCTATACTAATAACATGATTAAAAATGTGAGGTCCCTTCTCTTTTCCTTTTCTTTTTCCCGGATTCTCACTCTCTACTCTTACTCTCTTTTCTCTCTACTCCTTCCCCATTCCTTTCAACTTGCTGATTCTTGTGGTGACCTTGGTTGAAGGTGCTGATTCGTAGTGGGAGGCTAGCTGAAGTTCTCCATCCCCGTTGATCTCCATTCAAGCTTGTTTCCATCTTCTTCTTCGTCCCGGAGCTCGGATTCTTGAACCGAGGTAAGGGAAGTTAGATTTTGCTGTGTTTTGGCTGAAAATGGGTCTAGGAACTCATTTTGATTGCTGATGATTGATGGTTCTTGGCTGTTTTGGTGAAAATGGGGTTTTGGGGTTTTCGGGGTCTTTGAGAAAATTTTGGGAAATTCTTGATTTGTTGTTGCATGTGCAAAAAGATGGTATTTTTGAGCTGTTGGTTGAAAATGTGGTACTTTGAACCGTTTGCATGTGGATTTTTTGTTGATTTTTGCAGGTTTTGGACAAATTTTCAGACTTGGGGAGTTGCTGCTGAGCTTCGCGCTGGGCACTGTTCTTCGCGTCGGGCGCGTGACCACCAAGGGGCTCCATTTAGGAAAGCCCGCCGGGCGCAAAGGTGTGTGCGCCGGGCGAGCTTGAGAATGGGAGCCTCTGGATGGCCCACGCCGGGCGTGACCTGGACTTCGCCGGGCGCGATATCAGTTGTGCCATGTTTTGGGTTTTCTGGTGCTGCGCTGGGCGTCACCATTGTCGCGCTGGGCGTGGAGGTTCCTTGGGAGTCTCTACCAAGAGGGCGCTGGGCGCAATACGAATTGCGCCCGGCGCGAGACCTTGGTAGGTCTCTGCCTTCCCCACGCTGGGCGCGGGTTAGGCCACGCCAGGCGCGTGAGACTCCTTGGAGGCTCTGCCTGGGTCACGCCGGACGCGAGCACTCTTGCGCCGGGCGCGCTGGCCCTTGGTGCTCTCTGGTTGAGCCGCGCTGGGCGCAATCCTGAGTGCGTCGGGCGCGTATGATGATGTTGACTTAATATGCTGATAGCTGTTAAACTTTGCTGAAATTGCTGAGAGATGTTGCTTTATGCTGAACTAAGCTGTAATAGATGTATTTTTGCCGTGCTGAGCTGTGCTGGTATTGATGATTTTAAATGCTGAATTATAATATTGCTATATTATAGAATGCTGAGCTGAGTTGTGAGTAGTAAGCTGCGTTGAATACTACTTAACTATGTTGTATGCTGATTTGCTGTGCTGTGCTCTGAGCTGTTTGGCTATGCTGTATATTGTTGAGCTGTATGTTGTGTATGGCCACTATTGTGGTGCTGTTCTAGAACTAGTGCAAAAATTGGATTTAAAATCGGACTTTTAAGATCGATTATAAGGTAACCGATTTTAAAAGTGATGCGGTGACAATTTTGTAAATAAAATGAACACTTTTAAGATTGCTTCAAATTTAACTGATCTTAAAAATACTTTTAAGATCGATTATTTTATGACCGATCTTAAAAGGTATGTCTGACACAACTTTTAAGATCGGTTACAAAAGAACCGATCTTAAAAGTACTTTTAAGATCGGTTATTTTATAACTGATTTTAAAAGTACTACTTTTAAAATTGGTTATTTCAGAACCGATTTTAAAAGTAGCCCTTTTAAAATCGGTTATTTCAGAACCAATTTTGTATGTAGTATACAAAATCGGTTCTTAAATAACCGATTTTAAAAGTATCGTCAGAAACCTTTTATATTTCCCTCCAATCTCATTCTCTTTAATCTTTCCCTCTATTCGTTTTTCTACTCTCTCAAACGCTCTCATTTTCTAAAGAGGTAAATTTCGTTGTTGTTTTCGTTTTCGTTTTCCTCTTCTTTTGTCTCTTTTCGTTTTCTCATGCGCTTCTCTTGTTTCTGTTTTCAGGTTCTTTTTTTCTAAATTTTGAAGCTGGAACGACCCGTTCTGAAAGGAGAACGACCCGTACTAAAAGGAGAACGGGCCGTTCTGACTCCGTTCTTCAAAAATTCTCTTTTAACAATCTGGAACGGCCCGTTCCAGTTTTGGAACGGCCCGTTCTAGTTTAATTTTTTTTCTCGGCCAGAACTTCTAAAATCGGTTATAAGACAACCGATCTTAAAAGTTAACTTTTAAAATCGGTTAAATAACCGATTTTAAAAGTCTAATTTTTAAAATCGGCTCTTTTAAAATCGGTTACGGAACCGATTTTAAAAGTGAAAAACAACCGATTTTAAAAGCCTTTTTTCCACTAGTGTAGCCGCTATATCGGTGCTGTTATTAGCCACTATTGTGGTGTTGTTATATCCGCTAAGGCGGTGTTGTTATTACCGTTATGCGGTGCTGTTATAGCCACTAGAGTGGTGCTGTTATTGCTGCTATGTAGTGCTGATATTGTCGCTTTGCGATGCTGATATTGCTGAATGCTGTGGTGTAGTGTAAGCTGGTTGTTGTGCTGATAGTTGTATCTGTTTACCATTCATATTTCTATATATGTATGTTGATTTCTTTTCACTAGCTTACCCTTTGTTGTTTCCATGGTGTTTGGACTGCAATGATCATACTATGTATGGAGCAGAGCAGGGATAGGTTGGTGGCTAGTGGCAGGACTGTAGATGGCAGTTGGAGCTGAAACTGTTGATATTTTGTTGTGTTAGCTACCTGATGTAGTAGCTTTTGATGTATTTTGTACACTTTAACTCTATCCAGATTTGGACCTTGTATATGTATATATTCTAGACCCTATATGTATACACTTGTTCTTTTCTGTGTGGTGTTTCTAGTGTGCTGTGCAGTGTGTAGTGACGAGCTGGGTCGTTACAAAAAAAGCACGATACAACACAACGACTTTCTAAAAATTATTATTCTCTCCGATCCTTATTTTAAAACACAATTTAAAAAGAAATGATTGTCTTTTTTTTTTATATGGAATTAACTTTCTAATTTATATAAAGTATTATTTTTATTTTTCATTTTTTGATCATTATGAGAGTACGTGCTTCTCTCTCAAATCTCTTAGATTCTTCTATTATCATTTATCATTTTTATTGGTATTGGTATCAGTGCACAAGTTTTTATATAGAATAATATATTCACCTTTCTAAAGAAAATTTAATGATAAGTAAAAATGATAAAATTAGTAAATCATGATTTTGTTTTATAATTCCAATAAAATTAACTAATATAAGTACTTATATTTATTAGTTCATTTGACGTGGTTAAAAGTGGTTAAAAGTGTCTTATAATTAAAAAGTTGAGAGAGTATTGGAAATATAAATGAAAAAAAATAATAACAATATTATATTGAAAAATTAAAATGATACTTAATTTAGAATTTAGTTTTCTTTTTTTTGCATGACATTTATTATGAAATTGAGAGTACAGAACAAGGTTAATTAAGTTTGTTGACTTTTTATGTTATTAAGTTTTTAATTTTGTAGTGTATTACGAAACTCTCAAAAAAAGATTAACAATTATTTAGAGTTAATTAATTTATTGATGAGGTTGAGATAGATGCACATATACCTAGGGGTGGGTATGCGGACCGGTCCGGCCCGTTTAAGGCGAGAAAAAAAAACATTGACTTGTGTTGGCGGCGATTTTTTTTTCTGAAATATACTTTTTTTAAAAAAAATTACCAAAAAAATATCTATTACACATTATTTATCCAAATAGATCTCTTTGCTGTTTAAACTCAGAATTCGATTTCCAGGGAACTAAATTCTGAGCAGTGTTATTATTATTATTATTATTTTTTTGCATTTTAATTTCTAAAGAAGAGGAAAACTGGATTAAGAACAGGCCGTTTCCGTTCCAGATAAAAGATATACACATGATGAATGGATCAGAACAGACCGTTCTCTAAGGAATGCAAGTAGAACGGGTCGTTCTCCAAGAAAAACGACCCGTTCTAATTACAAAATTGATACATTCCTGAACCCAAAACAAAAAAAATAAATAAATAACACTGCTCAGAATTTGATTCCTATTCTGAGTGTGAATAGTAAAAAGGTCTATTTGGGTAAATAATGTGTAATAGATATTTTTTTGTAATTTTTTTTAAAAAAATATTATTTGAGAAAAAAATTCTGTTGGCGGCACTTGGGAAATCAGTTAAATCCTCATATTGAAATGAAATGGAAGTTTGAGTTGTACTCTTCTTTGGTGGAATGATCCGAACTATGCTTGTGTCACATGCTGACCACATCTTGGGGCTCTTGTTTCGTGTTGTCGTTTTGTCTTTAATTTTCTCGTGACGTTGTCTCCTGATTTTTTAATTTGTGATGTTCTGCAGTGGAGTTTTAACTTATACAATCTTTAATTTAATTTTATAATTCCGCCTGTTTTAATCACCGTCGACATAGAAAACGAGGTTGCCGTGGTCCAAACTGGTGCCACGCTTGGCGAGGTTTATTATAGAATCTGGGAGAAGAGTAAAGTTCATGGCTTCCCTGCTGGGGTGTGTCCCACTGTTGGTGTGGGTGGCCATATCAGTGGAGGAGGGTACGGTAACATGTTGAGAAAATATGGTTTATCTGTTGATAACGTCATCGATGCTGAAATGGTTGATGTCAAAGGAAATCTTCTAAACAGAAAATCCATGGGGGAGGATCTCTTCTGGGCTATTAGAGGAGGTGGAGGAGGCAGTTTTGGTGTCATAGTGTCTTTCACTATCAAACTAGTTCCCGTGCCCGAAACGGTTACCGTTTTTCGCGTTGAGAAGACTTTGGAAACGAATGTCACCGCCACCGACCTCGTCGTGCAGTGGCAGCAGAGAAGTCCAACTTTAATAGTAGAACAGAGAACCCTAGAAGAAACATAGAGTGGTGTAAAGCCAAGAGTTGTCTATTTTCGGATCTTTGGATGCGTAGCTCATGCTCATATACCAGACCAAAAGAGAAACAAGCTAGACAACAAAAGCAAAAGGTGTGTATTTTTGGGAGTTAGTGATGAATCTAAAGCTTACAAATTATTTGATCCTATTGCAAAGAAAGTCATTATGAGCAGAGATGTAATTTTTGAAGAAGACAAGAGTTGGGATTGGAAAAGAACTAAAGAAAAATACAAAGTTGATGTTCTAGACTGGGAAGAAAAAGAAAATAGTGATGACCAAGAACCTACACAAAATGAAGAAGCAGACAGTGGTAATATCAAACAAAGTGCATCCTCAAGCAGTTCAAGTGAGATCAGGCCACCAAAAAATGAAGAAAATGATGGTGAACAAGAATTTCCAGTTGAAGGGAGAACAACAAGGAATAGAAGAAAACTAGTTTGGATGGTAGATTATGAAGAGGAAACAAACTTATCTAAGGAAGAAAAAAGCTTAATTGCGATGATGATGGCTAAAAATGGAAGTGATCTTGTAATATCCATTTTTTTGAAAAATGGGTCCGTTATCCGTAAAGTCCGCGGACTTACAGACCGGTCCGCGGACTCAAGTCCATATACCTATGTTTGATTCTTGTTACTAAAGTTGTAAAGTTTTTTACTGATAAAAAAGAATAGGTTAACTTTTTTCATGTGATTTTCATTAGGAGATGAACTTTATTTTCAACCTTGAGAAGAAGGAACTCAACCAAAAAACAAAAAAAGTAATGGGTAGATTACCATGCATGCATGGTAGTCCAAGTAGTATATTAAGCTCGAATCAGCTGAACAAAATCTTAAGTTCAACTGCTACCATAGTTTTAATATATGATACTGACAATTTGATTATGAGATAGAAACTTACTACCATTTGTGTTAACAATATAAGTGTCTTGATTAATTTTTTGTAAGGTATTTAAATTTTCTAATTCATAAAAAAATAATTATATTTAATTATGTATCATACAAAGATTAATAGTAACGATAACCAGCCTCTACCACCTAATAATTCCTCTCGCATCACACAGCCACATGCATTTTATGTAGAGTTTGGTTCAATCATATACACAATTATTTAATTTTATTTGGTTTAATAGACAAAAATTGCAATTAGGAACTAGATTCTTTCCTTTGAACATAAAATGAAACAAAGTTCTTTTTGTCCATTTTTCTCAACATTTGTACCATGATGGAAGACTCACTAGCTACTTAAAGGGGGTGCTAGATTGAGCTTTCGAAATTATACTTATTTGTATGTGCTCTTAAAACATTTTTCCTTTCTTTTTCCCCCTTTTTGTTCAAGCTATGGCAACGAGGCTCAAAGTGGATCTTGAAGCATTTATCTCAGGGAAAACTTGGAGATGAATTCAAATAATGATAATAAGATAGTGGATCCTTTTATTTACATTTAAAATGAAGTGTTTCTAAACAAGTGTTTTTAAAAAATTTTCTAAATATTTTTTTAATTTACTTTTTTAAAAATAAAATTTACTTTTAAGAACTATCTTTTTCATTTATCTCTTCTTTTTCTTACTTCTAATCTCCTATCACTATATCTTTCTTAAACCACTCTTCTTCTTTAACCAACAAATCTTTATTATTTTTTTAAAACTTTAATTTTTCACTCTTACTTCAACATTTTTAAACCCTATTATTTTTCCTCATCTTAATACCGCATATATCGGATCCAAGGTTATGAATGTTTGGAAGGCCTTTTTTTTTTTTTTTTTTTTTTTTAAAAACAAAATTTTTTTTTTTTTTATTAAATT